TTATTAGATTTTGATATAGTGCTGAAGATAAGAGGAAATCAAGATAAACTTAAAATTTTGATATCAATCAATATCGTGAAAAATCCTTAGTGAATTATTAGGATTCCATTTAATACCTCTAAGAATAGTAGATACTCTTAGTGCTAAAACCATTTTTACCAAAGTTTTCCACCTATGCAACCAAGACAAATATTAATAGCTGTAAATCATAGTAATTGTTACTGTACTTTAGGTTTAAGTAGGAGAGAATTATTAGATTACAGTATTGAAAAGAAATGTCTGGTAATCAGACTTCATGTCTTTGGATTGATGACCAGCAGGATATTCAAAATTCAAAGTTTTTTTTTTGTAGCTTACTGATCAGAGACTTACAAACTGTTTTCATATGGTAATCTGCATAAAATAATGTTCATAACTTCTCAGAATTAAGGACCGAAAATGTTGAGGCAACTGATTATATGAACATGACAGCAGCAGTAACAGAAGGAAATGTGAAAGAAACTAAATCCTCACCGTGTGGCTCCTCTATTAGTCAAGAAGGGTATATGGAAATGAGTCAGCTTATGTCAACAATGGCTTTGGAGACAAGTTAGTACTGTATCTGTATATTGTCTATTGCTTTCATTAAGTATTATAAAAACTGATTAATTCTTTTATTCAACGTTTGTGTTTCATCTGTACTTTTCTGAAAATATTTTAATTTGCATGATATATTTTGGTTTGTATATGGATTTTTTTTCAAAGCCATTTCTTCTTAACCCACAATGTTAAGGTATTTCTAATCCACCATCTTACAGCTAGATCTTTCTAATCCCCATGTTACAACTATAGCTGTCTAACCCATCTTGTTACAACTATACCTTTGTAACCCATCATTTTACATCTATATCTTCTTAACCCACCATGGTAAAACTATATCTTTTTAACCCCCCATGGTAACACTATATATTTTTAACCCACCATGGTAAAACTATATTTTTGTATCCCATTATGGTAAAACTGTATCTTTGTAATCCACTATGGTAAAATTATATCTTTGTAATCCACCATGGTAAAATTATATCTTTTTAACCCAACATGGTAGAACTATAGCTTTGTAACCAACCATGTTACAACTCTATCTTTGTAATCCACCATGTTACAACTCTATCTTTGTAATCCACCATGTTACAACTCTATCTTTGTAATCCACCATGGTAGAGCTATAGCTTTGTAACCAACCATATTACAATTATATTTTTATAACCCACACTGTTACAATTATTTTTCTGTCTAACCCATCATCATAGAACTCTTTTTTTTTTTCTTCTAATGATAGCACCATTTGGAACCTGTATGCTTAAACATCATCTTAAGTATTTAGGTATGATTTGATTTCTAAGAAAACTTTTAGAGTGCTTTTTCTTACACTAGGCAGGAAGTTCTTGAAAATAGATGTTCCATTTAACATGAAGAGAAGTATGACTGATTTTTGCTTGACAAAAACGCATCAAGGCAATGAGGAATTCCACCTCGATAAGGTGAGTTCTAAAATTGATTTGTCAAAAAACTTACACAAGAAGGGTAATATTTTCAAGACACAGATGACAATCTCTACAGAATAGTTTTTTCTTAGTTTCTTTACTTGTGTGCATGTATGAGAAGAGCATTAACCATTTCATGTTGTAAGTACGAAACTCAATAGAGTAAAAGTATTATTGAATAGAATAATGAAAAACAGAGAATACCAAAAGAAAAAATAACTAAAGAAAACAGTTTATATAGTTCACACTGGTTAGGTAATTTTGTGTTTTAGTATTTATGATGTTTATGTTTACATTTTGATTTATTTGACTTGTATGTCATTATGGATCCTTTGATGAACCCACAAGCAATTTTGGTTATAAATAGTTTTGAAAAACTGTTTAACACTGGTGGGGTCAGTAATTCTCAGGTTAATCAGGTTATTTGCAATTTACTTATTATATGACAGTGTTTCTCCAAAAAGTATCTTCATTATTTTAATGAACTTTTGAGCTATTCAAGTTTCCCTTAATGTCACTTAAAATGGTTTACAGTGTATATTTTTGTTAGAAGATAACATTGTGAAAAATGTGACACTTGAATATACGTTTTCATTCTTTACAGGTGAAATCGTTTTTTTTACCACTTGATAAGTGCATCAGTAAACACCAGGTATGTCGTGTCATGGATGTACTTTGTTGTATTTTGACTTACAAATGCTGAGCAAAATATTATGTAAACTCTAATAAATGTTAAATTTTTGTTGAATTTTACTTTATATATGTTAATGTTTCAATGAAAAAATATGAATTATTAATTTTGAAGGGTATGCTTTTAATATTAGGAGATGATTTAAACCTTCATTGTGGAAAGCAGTTTTGTCTTCTGTCTGTATGTTTCTGAAGATATAGTAACTGTCCTTAATTTTAAAGTGACAAGGAAGACATTATAATGCCCCCTGTATTGAAAAGCGAGCATGTTATATGATAGGATTAAATCCTATGATCTGCAGATTGTGAGTCAAGTGCCCTAACCACCAGGCCAAGTGGCTATAGGGAATTGATTTTAGCTCATTATAATTATTTGCCAGTACTAAACCAAGTAATTTAATTAATTATCAATGTTAAGTGTAAGATCACATTAATATCTTATAACAAGAGTTTTTACTTTAAAGTTATTAATACTAGAATTGGAATCATTTTCTGAAATATGCTTACTTTGAATAACAGAACATGTACCATGATTAAGTAATAATTGTAGCCATTCTTTGTTACCTATTAAATAGGAAAACTATGACAAGATTAACATAATACCTGAAAAGAACATTCTTAGTCAACCTGTTATGTATCAAATAACCATATTACTAGCAGGGTACAATGTGATGTTATACTAACTTTTTACTAAAACACAAGTTTTACAAAATCTCAATCAGTAATTAAGTAGTGCAAGGACTTTGCAACTAAATATCATAATCTCAAACACCAGTAAAAATAAAAAATGGAGGGGAAGGGGGGGGGTGACCTAGTTCATTAGATTATGCAAAACAAGAATATTAGATGTTTTTTATTTTCGATCTTGTCATACCATGAGATTACTTATGCGAGTAACAATTTAGTATTTGTTTTACATAATTATAGAAAACCTTTGTATCCATACGTCACCACTAGGTGAACCTCATATTAGTCTTTTAATATAAAAATCACTTAATATTTAATATTCACTAGATGGCAGGAGAGCTACAGAATAAGACAAATAGAAATATAACTGAACTAAACCATACAAGGAAAAATACAAAATCATAAAGTAAAAATAGAAATTTTTATTTCATAAACTACTTAACAGTAAATGAGAGCATCTCATAAAAACAGCCATTCATAGTCAAACGTTTTATGGTAAATGTATAGCATTGTTTGTTCAGATGCCCTGTAGGAAACAGTCATTCTTTGTTAAGTGTATCATAGTAAATGTACAGCATTGTTCAAAATGGAAGAACCATTTTTTTATACAACCAGTATCCTTCTTTAACATTAAATGTATAGCAATAAGGAATATCATGGTTTTAAAATAGCTATTTTTAGTCAGTTTTTAAAAATATATAGCATCATTGAAAAGCTTTATATAAAATAGCCATCCTTAGACACTTCTTATGAAGCAGTGGTTATTCATCATCTCTTTAATACAGTTAAAAAGTTTAATAAAAGTATATGTACAAATTTAGTCAATAAATGAACATGCTGTAATATTGTGGGGGAACAAGCTAGGATTTGACCTATAAACAAAAGTAGCACAAGGCCCTTAAGAAATTTTTGGGATTGCTCAGGAGATTATTGAACAGTATGTTTATTGAAATAGAGTGTTACAGAAGATAGTTTAAGTTTTAAGAACTAGAGATTCTAAGTGAATACTTGGTTTCTGTTTCTGTATAGATAGTAGAAGCTGCTTCTATTATTGAAGGTTTAGGTATTGTTAATAGAAAACCACAAAATATTGTTTATTGTTTTGCTACATAATCAAGTGAAATTATGTATAATTGGAAATGTTATGAAATACCTATTTCAATCCTTGGATGGAATGAAACTTCAGTATATGTCTATGTCCAATAAATGTTTAATTTGCTATTTTTCAGTAAGACTCAATCTGTTGTTAATCTCAAATTATTACAGTTAAAATTCATAAGTACCAAAAGTATTAATTAAAAGCCAGTATAATTGTTTGTCTAACTGTTTAACTGAAAACAAGATAGCAGTAATGAAGAGACCTAAATAAAACTGGTGATCATGATCTTGAGTAAGTTTGTACTACAGTAATCTTGGGGATGAAGATGGAAGTGATTTTTCAGAATTACTAAATTTTTAACAGTGATAACTTTCATCCTGTTTTGTTTCTTGGTCAAAAACTTCACAGAAATAGCTGGATTTGTAGAGTTCTAAAAATAAGGATTTCAAGTTCAGTCTTTATAAACAAGACTCAAGTTTTAATAATTAATTCCAAATACTTGTTTGCAATATGCAAAAACTGTATTAAGCTGTGAAAGAAGTATAAATTAGAATAATTTTGTTTTTGTTATAGTTACAAAGGAGTTTTTCCAATCCAAATGTGGAAATTCAACACAACTTTTCATGTACAGTGCCATTTGGAACATGTAAAACATTCAAAAAGTCTCAAAGTGCACCTACACTGCTAACAAAAGATGTTCAGAAGAATGGATCAGGTGAGAATAATAAAAATGATGAAACGTTCATGGAGATGGATTATACACAAAATCTTTCAGCTCTAAAACCTACTGATGATGATGATGATTACAAGAACTGTCGTGTAAAAACATCATCACGAGGTCCAACACCTCTTTCTTTACTTCTAAAACTTGCTAAGAAACAAGAAAGTGTTGCTCTTCCTTTTTCTCTTTCCAAATTAAGAAAATCTTTGAAAAAGAGGGAAACATTGACTGTGTTCAATGGCAAAAAAACTCGTATTTCTGAAACTGACCCCAAGGCACAAACTTCTGGCATGCTTAGGGATATCAATGCTAGCACTGATGTTATTACTTCACCAACTAGTCAGCAACCTTCTAGTGACTACCTTGATATGGAACCTAGATATTGGCAAACTTCAGATTACATGTCCATGTCTAAAGAAGAAAATATTTATACAGGATCAACAAACCAGCCATTATATGAAAGGTTAAAATTTTCCAAGAAAAAGTCAGAATATCTGGAAATGAATGGACAGGAAGCTTTAGTGGATGATAACTTGTATCAGCTGATGTACATACCTAAAGATAAGAGCTGGTTTGGAAATGAAAAAACACATGATTGTGAAAAGAATAATTCAGATTTCGTTTATCAAAATAAAGTTAGTCCATCAGGTATCTCAAAAAGTTCCAAATCACGACAAAACAATGAAGTAAAATGCAGCTCATTTTCACTAACCTCAAAATCGAGTGACTCCAAATTTCTTGTGCAGGGTAAGAGTACTGAGCTTTATCAGTCAATTGTAAACACTAAACTACTAACATGGAAGAAAAATGCTGAATCTGACCAAAAAAGAAACCTGCATCAACTAGGCCTAACGTCAGATAATTCACTTTCAATATCCCAGCAGGTTTGTTCTCATCTTCATGAGAGTCCAAAGCAGCCTGCCAAATGTTTTCAGGTTTCCAAGTCTTCTAATACTGTACAAGGAAAAGGAGGGGATTATGTTCTTTTATCTTCAGGAGAGTTTCCCAATCGTGAGAAAACAAACTTTCCAAACTCATGCCTATCTCCTGTAGCTCCTTCTCTAAACAGTTGTTTTTTGTCCAACTGTAATAGAGATCATTCACCAGTCACTGGGAGTAGTAATGGGTATATTAGGTTGAAAAATGAAAATGTTGGGAAATCCTGTTCTAGCAATGAACCTACTTATACAACATCAAGGAAACAAAGTGATGTTTCATTAAGAAAATCTGAACATCTAACAACAGAGCCTTTGCACCAAAGGAAAACTTCATTCCCAGTGCCATCCAATTTCTTTATTCAAAAATCATCATCAGGCTCTTTCTTGCAACCCCCCAATAGTCCTCTGGTGATATCTATACCTGATTCTCCAATTAGTCCACTACAGCCTCAAGATGGTAGCAGTCTTTCTCAGATACGAAGTCTGACACACAGCATGAGTTTTACAGGCCCATCAAAATCCTTTCCACTAATTAGACGACAGGTAAGTTCAGTTGAAACCAGCAAATCTAATGATCTCAGTCTGCTTGAAAATCCTCAACCAATCCAGAAAAGTCCAGGATTGAAAATCAACTATGCGTTACTAGATTTAGCACCAGTTGATTCAGAAAGGGAAAAGATTCTGTCATCACGAAACACAGCTAGTCAAACCCCTGCTGCTGAATCTGCAAAAGATATTCCTTTGTTTTATGCTCAGATTGATTTTGCAAAGTCTGAAGATTTGCGAAATGCATCACTTGGCTTGAAAGGTGGAAAAAGCTGAAGCAGACGTGTTGCCCAGTCATGAGCTGTTGGCAGTTGTTTGATGTAAAGCCTATGTTTAATTACTAGATGTGATACATATACATATATATAATAGCATATATTATTTTTAAAATAAACTTTATGATAAAGTATTAGGCTGGACTATCTGGTATATAAACAAAAGGCATTGATTTATAAGTAACGGATTATTGAACTACTATTCAGATAAAAGGTATAGCTTAGGTCTACTTAGGGCATGAGTACAAATAGATTTAGTAGCAATTCCCTGCTTCTTTAAATATGCATACTTTTTTGTTGGAAAAGGATAAATAGTAAAAATATGTCCATAAAAAATGTAATTCTTCCAATAAACTACTTATTTCTTAGCATTGCATCTTTGTGGCCATGCTTTCAAATCATGAGGATTTATGGCAGATGTGTTGATTAAAGGGATGTTTCTTTTCATGTTTTATGTCTTTTGTTTAACATTCAAATCAACAAAATATATTGTTAATTGGTTGTATGTCTCTGTGCTGTTCCAGAACTCTACAGAAGTCATTTGGATTTATAATAGATTTAAATTAAGATATGATTGTCTTTTTTCTTGGATCATTTATCCAAGTTTTTGAATTTATGAAATAATGTTACCTTGTTAGTTAAAATCAAATTCTACAAAAAGTGGTTTGTGTTGTACTTGATTTTGTATATATATATATATATATATATATGTGTGTGTGTGTGTGTGTGTGTGTATATATATATATATATATATATTATATAGTCGTGTGTCTATAGTATACTTATTTGTACCATATATATTACTTTACTTTTTAAATTTAGTTTAGTAAATTAACTTTAAAA